AGATTATAAATGTTTCTTGTAAATGTAAATGAAATATCACCCACTTGTAACACAGTACAACTTTAAAAAAACTTCTTAGGCCATAATACCTTTAACCAAATAACCTTCAAGTTCAAGAAATCCCTGGCCATTATTAGATGTATGCCATGAAGCAAATCAAATGTTCAGCAGATGAATAGACTACACAGCCACTTCCACTTGACCTTAAAACTTATCTTCTCTTTTAGACACCAATATATTCACAACCCAATGATGATTTTGACAATATTAAGCGTGATAAGAATCAAGACTTTTGAAGGTATTTTTTTTTACATCAATTTGTTCAGATTCAAGAACAATAAATAGCTTCCCCTTACTACTCACATCATCAAGGAGACGACCTTCAACTCGAAGTTCCCAAGATGGGACAGTGGGTTCTTCGCCGCATTCTCCTTCAGGTTTTCCAGGATAGAATGTGTTGGAAATGAATATTCGCAGCTTTCGTTTTTGCTAAAGAAACAAAATTTTTGTGAACAGAAAAGAAGTTGTAATACATATTTTAGCTTCTTCCTGATACAAGCTTTTGTAATGTGAAATCGGAAAACAGTAAGCAAATTACATAACAACCAAGAAATGTTTGTGTATCAGATAATGAACCACTGTACTTGTCTGTCAATTTTTAAACCATGTTTTAACTAGCACATTCACTTTTCTCACTTTTGTAAGTCCAATTAATATGTTAACAACTCTAGTGTCTAATTACTTCTTATATAACAATCTAATTTACTTTTAGTATTTCTCTTACATAAACACTTGTTACAAACTTTTCTTATCATTGATTTCATAAGTCTCATCATATACAGTCATTTATAAAACAAGTAGCTTAAGCATAAAAAGACAATTATAATTCATTTCAAAGACATTTGTTGCAACAGTTAAACTGTTAATTACCTCTGATACAAGATTACTGTAAAGCAGTTTTTCTTCACTGATTAATTTTAAAAAATATAACAACGTATGTAAGTACTTACAGTAAGGTTATGGTGATCGGGTATCAGTCCTTGTCACAGTTAGTAGCATATACAATCAGCTAAGCCTAACTATTAATCAGCAATTTATATTTATTTATTTTTATATAACTAGATACTAATTAATAATTACTGTCTATCCTGCATTTTTACTGCTATTAAACTTGCTACTGTCTTTAGAAAAAATTTTGATAAGAACTATTCTTGGGTCTTCTTGATAGAAAGTCTGGGTATTATTTACTCAACTGGGGTCTTTCTCCAATACAACTTGGATAAAACAGCTTTTAGAATGTTTGAAAGAAACATCCATGTTTAGCTCACTTTTACACTAGGTTTGACTGTATTATCAGTTACGAAGGACAATGTATTTAGGCAGTTTCAAATTATATAAAAGTTACCTTCATGGGTCGTTTGAGAGCTTCTTGAATATCTAAGCGCTTCCTCATAATAGTGAAGTCCAGCTTCCTTTCAAAAGCCAGGAGATCCATGTAGGCCTGAGATTCTGGGACTAGATCTCGGACTTTTTGTGGAAGAATCTTGTCTGCTAGCTTTTTTTTCTTTTTGCTGCTGCCACTAGACCCTCCACTTCCACCACCTACGGTACTTCCTCCAACAACTGATGGAGTAGATGTGACTGGTCCACTAAAATAGAATTAATTACACTAGAGAAAGAGTATATAATACAGATCTTGCCGAACACAAGTTGCAAAAGAAACAATATAAAACAACATAAAAGGCTTGAATATCAGGCTTAAAACCTACCCATAAAATCAGAAAACTTCAGCACAAATGAAATGCAATATAGGTTATGAGTTGCAATAAATGTACAATAAACCTGTTTGAAATATTCTTATCACCAACACTTCTTTCGACCAATAAATAGAACACAAGACTCTAGTGTCATGAACTCCTAATTTAAAGCTTACTTCCATGCTTATTTATTCCTCGTATATCAGTTCATAAATGCAACTTAAACAATAGTCATCAGCTGAATTGAGACTCACTGAGAATTTGCAGATGTAGGGAAGGTTATTCTCGATGTCTACGAACATATAAAATACATTATTTTATATACTTATTAAAGCTGAATAAATTTACTGCCATCCTCAAATATACGTTTTAGAACTTATATAAAATAAAAAGAAGAGTTGCCATCCATTGAGGATAACCAAAAGTCACTTATCTAGAAGAACAAAAGCTAGCCCAAATTTTTTTGTAAAAATTTGTTGAAAACTAGGTAAACCTGTCAAGAATGGCAAAGGAAGTCACTTCCCAGAGAGAGATAAAATTAGAGAAATAAACCTAATTACTTATAGTATAGGTTTCTCCATTTAATTTGTTGTGAGGTTTTTCTATTTCGTGAAAAACATGTTGCAATTACTTCATTAGGGTTTTCACTCTCTAGTTTAATAAATAAATTCTCCTCAAAAAAGTTTTAACAAACTGAATAGCAAATAACCTTTCAGAAGCTGGAGGGCCCTGACTTCTATTTTCTTGTCCCCTTTCTCCAGCTGAACGTTTTCGAGATGAATCTATTACCACCGATCCTTGGTGAGGTATTCTTCCTGGAGGATAAGGATGAGGAGGTGGCATTCCTTGGTTCATGTGTGAAGGCATTGACTGTGGGCGAGTTGGTGGTGGTGGAGGACCACTCTGCATTCCCATTCCTGGAGCAGGTGGATATCCTGGACGTTGAGGGACATGCTAGAAAAAAATACATCAATTCACAATCAATCATAGAAATTCATAAAAACTTTTACAAAAATCTATGCTACAACAAGGGTAATATTCTTCAAAAAAGTCAAAATTGTCTCATACCCTCAATCACGTCTCCTAAAATCTTAATTAAATAATAAAGAAAAACATGAACATAATTACAAGAAGCACGTATTAGACATTTCAGAATTCTATCTTCAGTTAGATAGAGGTACAAAAAAAATTTAATCATGTTTGTTTTGTACTTTTAGCTTACTGAAGATAGAATTATGAAATGTCTAATAAATGCTTCATGTAGTTACATTTGTGTTTTTCTTTCTTACCTGAATTTTTCACCATGTTTAACTGGTTAACAAAAGCACCTTAGCTGCACAGCTTCAGTAACAAAATCCAATAATCAACATATGGTTTCTATTTCTCTATTTCCTTTCTTTACCTCTTTTTCTTCCAAATTTTGTCCATTTTCCCCCTTTTTTATCCATGAGCCAGAATTCTTCCCAAATGTTCAAAAATACTCCTATACCTTTGGACACTTATTCAGAAAAATACACGAAAGTTTCACTATTAAGAAAATGTAACATTTCTTAAATTTATAACAAGGATCCAAAACTCTTATTGAATTTATTTCAAGGGTATCAAAATGTTTATAAGAGGGTCAGTAAGTTTTACTGGGAATTCGTGGCCATAAATATGCATTAATACAATCATGAAAGTCTGTATTCTTCACACTTTAGGAGAAAATACATTCCAGCCATCACATTGGTTTAATATGATTAATACTCATGAAGGAACATCCAACAAAATATTGAAGGGTAATTGGATAACAGTAGTTACCTTTCCCCACCTTTATTTTCAACTGGATAATGGATAATGTCTTAATGAAGTCATGCTTGTTCTTCTAATTTTGTGATTGGTCAATTAGAATTGTTGTTTCCATAAAGTAAGTCTTGCACTGTTTATTGTAAACTACAGGGAATACAGTCAACAATGATCTTAATAAAAACAAACAACTTATGATTTCTGCTGTAATGGAACAGCTAAATCCTGCTTGTTACATGACAATACAAAAATATTGTACAATGCTGAACTAATGTTAACCCTTACAATCAACCAGACAACATTATGGGTAAAACTTGTTATAAATAATCGAATAATTACAATCTATAGTGTATGTTTCTAATTAGTCAGACACTCATCTAAATTGGGCAATTCGGAGAACGAACCATCACATTACACTGAAAGGTGAAGAATCAGAATTTATTTAAATATTTCCTTTTGAAATCAAGGCATTATTTACCTACAATATTTATTTACACAGCTTTATTTCTGTTCAACAAGTGTTACTTTTATAAACAAAGATGTTGGATATTCACAACATATATTTTTGGGTTTTTGCTTTGTTAGCTTACATACTCTAGCATATTGCCAATGATTCTGTAGCATAAACACCAATGTCTTGATGTTGTAGGATCATCATTTGTAGTGATCAGTATGCATGGGAATCCCCAGAAAACTCTGACCATGCCAATATGTTTCTCTAATTTACTGTTTATTACACTCACGTCTGATGCCAAACATAACATTTCTGAAAGTTCTTTGAGGACTTGTAATTTCACTTTCATGAGTGTATCTTGTACAGTAGGGCTGCATTTGAAAAACCTAGGTCTTAAATTTGTGTAGTAATCTTAGTTTTTCTCCTAAGTTATGTATGTAAGGAAAGATGACTTTACTTCTACTTGTGTAGTCTCTTGTTGGTGTTTTGGAAATGGTAAAATTTCTTTGCTCATGGAGAACACATTGTAGTTTGTTTTTTTTTGAATAATCAATGTTAAGGAATGCATTTTAAAAACATCTAAGTTTGTCCTCAATGTATAATGAAGAACATATGGTTTGGATGTCTTAAATTTGAGGGTTTAAATAATTCCAGCTTTGACATAGAATGGATATACAGATACTTAACTGGAGGAGTTTTTTTTTATGATAAACTGAAGTAACAAGGTTTTGTGAACTTGTATTTATCTGAGCCAAAACATCTAGCATTTTGGTGATACCATGTTTTATACACAATTGTATGCTCTTAAAATAACTGTTCAGAAGTGTCAAAAAATATTTGGGTTCTCTTTCCCATAACTTCCACAGAACAAGTGTATCATCAATACATCTAACCCAAAGATGTGGCTGGTAATATTAGATAGTGTTAAAATGGTCCATTCAACTTGGTACAAGTATGGTCTAGCATTACCATATTGCTTCAATGTTAAAATTCAGGATTATTATAAAAGAAATCAATAACTGAATGGTATTTCATTGATTATTTAGTACATAAACTTTTGTACACGTACACTGCACGACCCTGTACTGTTAATGACTATAAAGAATGCACTTTTCGTCAAGCACTCCAATAAAACAAAGGACATGAACATATTAGTTAAAGTCCCCGTTTTTATAACAATAATGTAACATAGTGAAGTACTTTCAATTTTTCAGTTACTCCACACGCTATCCAAATCCAATATACAAATAAATCCAATTAAAAAAGTGGCTAAATGTACTCTTACATATATACTTACCTGAAAACCTTGAGCTGGGGAGCCATACTGTCTTACTGGAGGTGGTGGGGCATGCTGCATGGGTATTGGTCGTTCAGGAGGTCTCATTGCCGGACCACCATGAGGGCTAGGTGTTGGCCCAGGACCCATTGGCTGAGGTATACCAGTTGATGAAGGTGGAGGTGCTGGTTGGGGTGCTCCAGATAGGCCTTGGGGTGGAGGTGGGGCCATGGGATAAGGAACAGGACCTGGTACAACAGGTGCAACTCCAGGTCCAGGCTGAGGTGGAGGTGGTGCAGCTGGATATGGTCGATTCATGCCAGAAGCCATTCTTTCAAAACTAAACAAACCATTCAAACACTTTAAATACACATAAACATATAAGCTTACTTGAGAAATGTTCAAGCTCAACTGCGGAATGGTGCAGTCCAAAAATGACCCCAATACAACATGATCCCTGCACTGAATAATGCCTTTAATGATTTTGTTATCATAATTTTTCATTTTTAAGCTGCCCCAGGAAACTGCATTTTGTGTTGATTCCCAGTCACAGTAGTCTGACTGATAGCACTGTGTCATATTACAGACTTCTACCAAACACTTAGTTGTAAGGTTAAGTCAAAAACAAAGAAAAATGGTGCTTGGGAACAAAAGGAAAATGAACACAAAACCAAAATACGTATCTTCATAATTTCTTGAAAGCAACTCAGATGTATTCCAATCCCAGTAATGTACAATGTCCTACATTTGTTTTAAATATTAGTTTGATAAATTCAGCAAAAAAGTTTGCTTATAATTTTGAAATTATGTTAGTATACTAGCAGGTGGTGGAAATGGAGGGTCTAGTTGCAGTAGTAAAAAGAAACAAAGCTAGCAGACAAGGTTCTTCCACAGAAAGTTTGAGATCTAGTCCCAGAATCTTAGGCCTACATGGATCTCTTAAACATCACTATCATGAGGAAATGCTTAGATATTCAAAAAGATCTCAAACAACTCATGAGGGTAAAGTTTAGAAAATTTGAACATTTTGTGTCTAATGATAACATTATACAAACATATAATCATAATTCAAACATATGTACAGTAAATGTTTTCCTGAACTGTTTCAAAGTCTCAAACTTATTGTGACTTTAATTTGCATGTCTTTGATAGTAATATCTCTTTTACTTAAGAAACATAAACAGTTAATATCGTAACACAAAACAAGCATTATGACTGACATCATCATGATAACATAAAAAGTTAATATTATAACACACAAAACAAGCATTGTGACTGACATCATCACAATAACATAAACAATTAATATTATAACACACAAAATAAGCATTAATGAGGCCCAGTCTTCCTTCTTACTCATTACTCAAAGCTGACACTTTGATCATACTTCAAATTATAGATGTTACGTTAGCTTGGATGAAAATTAAACCACAACTCAACTGTTGATATAATATGCAGGTAATAACAAGAAAGGAACACTTTTAAATATAAGTTTCTGACATTTTACATTATCATATTCTAGCTCATGGCTGCATTGCTTGCTGTTTTAACAGTCCCACTCTTTAATAACACACTAACTATTTAATGTTCTTTATTATTATTATTATTATTATAAGATAACATTTAAGAACAATAAGGGTCTGTTGGTCCACTGAGGCTGTCCCATTCACCAAACAAGAAGCCAGCCCTTATCAGCTCAATATCTATCAAGCCTTCCCCTAAATTTACTGCATCTACCACATCTAAAAGCAACCAATTAAATGGTCAACTATCATATTAGTAAATAAAGCTGTCTTAGCTTAAGATGACTTCTACCCTGCCAAGGGTGTCCCTTTATCCTACCGTTCTCATTATTAAGTGCAAAACAATAACACACTGACATATCAATACCCTTAACAATCTTAAAACACCTCCAGATGTGTATATAGGTAAATATACAACTTTTTTACAAAAAACATGCATAAAAGAAAAAAATTATGCATATTAAATATACATACTATTTGCTGGTACTCATATTGTTCATGAACATGTGTGTGTATACTCATCAGGTCAAAAGAAATGAAAACCATTCTTGGTAATAAAATAAATACAAAGCACGGGAGATAATACTCGCTATAAGTTTATTTAGAAGTTATACAACAATTTGTAGGATTTGATGAAATTTTTTGCATTCCACTATTATATCTCTTTCATATGCTCTCTCAAGCTGTACTAAAGAGCTCTGATAAAGTGAAACTATAGTCTTCTACAAAAGCAGTGGCACATCAAAAAAATATATAAGCCTCCACATCATTCACGGATTCTCTTATCTTCATGAAATTACAAGTTTTAGTGAAGAAAAAAAATCACATGTGTTATACAGATATTACTGGTTGGCAATTACCTGTAGTTCAAGGTTACTGTTGAACTGAAACTTATACCAGTCTAATTTTACTGATCAATGTCAACAAAGTGATTAATGTACTGAATATACACAGTGCCTCATGCAGACCTTAACAGGATGTCTATACATAAATCAGAAAGGAAAGCATCAAGTAAACACACAGCAAAACACCAAAGTGTCAAGTTTTGGATGATTAAAAACATCAATGAAACCCCAAAACACACTAGCTTTCAGCATTATAGTTTATTTCAAGGAGTAAAATGCTTTAACTTTTTTCTTTCTCAAGAGAAAAGAAGTTCAGAGAAACCTGTCCTCTTATATATATGACAACTTTCAATCTCAGTAACCATCCCTTAAACCCTTTCCAACAATTCAGTGTCCTTAAAGTTAGGAGCCCAAGACTGAACATAACACTTCAAATGAAACCTAAACCTAAACACAAGGAAATCAATACTTTAGTAAATACAACCTAAATTCCTATTTGTTTGCCACTAGCAACTGCACACTGTTTGGATGGCTCAAAAGACCGATCAACCAAAACACCAAGAATTCTTCCTTAATACTGTTTATTCCCATCAAAATTAAACCATCAATTAAAATTATAACCCACATGCATTACTTTACACATTATAATAAATGTGAGGTAAAGATAACTATCATTTATTTTCCCACTCAACAGATAATCTGAGTTCTTTTGAGAGCAATAGTATCTTTATCACAACCAGCAACACCAAAGGTATTAACACTGTCTGTAGATTTATGTAATTTGTTGACTATTCCTTTATGTGTGTCATTGCTTAATTTGACTGAGCTCCACTTACAACAATGCTTGGTTTTCTTACATCTAGCCATTTTTCAATCCAACGAGACAATTTATCTCACACACCTACAGAGATACTTTTTAACAAGGCTTTTCTTTTGTGTGGTACCTTGTAAAATGCTTTCTGAAAATCCAGATACACCAACTTCACACCCTTACCCTCATTTATATAAGCAGTAACCTCTTTAAAGAATGCCAAAAGATTAGGAAGGGAAGATTTTCTTCTAGTGAAACCACAATGACTATCCAACAATATTTTAAACTTTGTTAAATGATTTTGAAAAGCATCATTTATCAGACTTTCCAAAAATTTTCTTACCACTAACATAAAACTAATAGGCTTACAACTACTTGGACAATTTTTATTACCTCATCATGTTCAGTTTTAAAGTTAACCTATAACTACATCAGTCATCAAAACATTAATAATGATTATGTACAAAACTTATATTACATATTATAAACTTCACATATAAACATAACTTTTTTACATGCCATTTATTATGAAACTGTTAAGTTGTCACAAAACTAATGTCGCATTTTGGAACACTTTCATTAATCACCCCTCAAAACATGTACATCACATATAATAGTTAAAAGAACCGCCTAAACGTCACATTAGTGTAGCCTATATAACGTGTAAAGTTTAGTATACTCTAATGGCTTATAGTGATGGCACACGATGAGAAACACATTCGGCATGTAATGCTGTTTGAATACAAGAAGGGAAACAACACTTTTGTAGCCATAAAGAATATCAAACAAGATTATGGAAATGTTTTGAACATTCATAAGTGTTAACAATGGTTCAGCAAATTTCGTTCATGTGAATTTAGCCTTAAAAACTGTGATGGCAGGGGCATACAAGTTGGAGTTGATATTGATGCTCTGAAGATGCTTGTTG